GTAGCAAGGTGTATATATATATATATATATATATATATTATAAACACACACATATACACACACACACAAAAAAAAAAAAAAAGAGAAAAAAAATGTAAAGAATTGATAATTTGGCTCAAAACCTTAAGTGGGACCTTGGTGACATTATGATAAAATATTATGATTTCACCCCTGATGATAAGTCATAAAAACTTTGACCTAAAAAAAAAAGACAAAAGAAAAAGCTATGCGACAAGGGGAGATGAGAGGGAAAAGTAAGGAGAGGAGTTGGAAGAAGGGATAAGGGACCGGAAATGAATTGAAGACAGATGTGATTAAATATTAAAGGTCAGATATTGTTGTGTTTATGTGATGTGGAATCTGAAGGTGTTCTTGAGCTGATCTCATGGGCGTAACATGCCGGCGGCTGACATCATGTCCCTAAGCTGTCAGAAAGACAGAACAAGAAAGAAATAAAACAGAGACCATGGGATATGGGATTATTAGGGGATGTGGTGAAAGAGAAAAGGAGGACGAAAGACTTGAGACACATAACAAAAACAGAGGGAAACAGAAAGATCCAGGGAAAGTAGAGGATTAATATAATGGAAGTGAGAAACAGACAGAGAGGGAGGGAGAGAGTTACGACTGTACTTTCTGGCAACGGCTCTTTTCTGCAGACGTGAACAATTGTTACTTTGTGTGTGCTGAGAGCTTTACATACGGTGCATTCCACACGCGGCTCTCAGCCAATGGGATCGCAGCAGGAAGAGGGTCATTCCAGAGGGTCCCTAAAGAATGTCTGTACCATCGATTCCATTCCAGGATGACCTCTCTGGAGAACTGCTTTCTTTTTCCCATTCTCTTTCCCTCTCTCACTCTCCGCAGCTGGGAATGCTTAAAGTCGAGGTGGGAGCGTGAGCTCTGCGCACACACTGAAAACACACACTGCACTCCACATGTGCCAAACACACCCACGCTGGGAACAACAGAGCACACACTCCCCTCTTTTTCTCCATACTCACCATTTCAGTTGGTTTTATGCGTCTGTCTCGTTCACTTTGTCCCTCACTGTCTCAATTTCCATAATATCCATCCGAAATGTGAGTTTGAATTAGAATAAGTGTGTAACATTATATTGTAGTAGAATAGTAGGCCAAAAGTGCTCAGGCTGTGCAATTTTTCAAGTGGATTTTTGAGTTGTGATGTATGCTTTTAATTGAAAATATAATTAACTTTAAAAGTCAGTTTGAACTGGAATTTACTACACATTTTACTTCTGTAATTTGACAAATGAAACTGGATATTCAATAAGGGAAAAATAAAGGACAGGATTTTATTTTATCCAGGCATTGATTGGATGGTGAATATGTGTCTCTTGGTGAGGAGAGGTTAAAATATGGTGACTATACGTCCTCTTTTGCCGGCCAGGATTTCTAAATTGTCTGGGTTTTAGCTTTGTTTTCCATACAGATGTGCTCTCTACAGTCCTCATTTTGCTTTGACCATTCTTTGTAGATCCCACCTTCTCACACGCCGCGATTGGTTGATTATGTACAATGCCTGCACACTATTGGTCAAACTACTTCTTAGTCATTACCTTAAGCAAGTATGAAACAATAGTAAAACAAAGCCAAAACCCCAACACACTTAGAAATCCTGGCCTAGACTTGTCTGGGGAAAAGAGACATACGAGGATGTCAGTAGGCGCGTTTCCATTACAGATTTGCGCAAAACTTTGGCGATATTTTATAAATGTCGAAATGACGGCATTTCCATTAACCAATGTTATGAGACTTAAACGTAACCCTTTGCCTCTCGCGATAAGTCATGGCAATGGATTTTGGTGGGATTTTGACGGATTTTGGCTATATTTATTCAAAGGAGGCTTATGCGTGTATCTTTACAGAAGCAGCAAAGAGAGCCGCTTCAGAAATGTGCGTGGCGCGGCTGGAATAAACCATAGCCTGTATACAAACATAAACACAAGCATTGAGTGGCCGCAATCAGCTTCAGTGACAACCACCTCATGCGAGCGTAAAAACTTTTTTTGCGATATATGGGCATTTTTGCGAAATTGACGTGTTTCCATTAGGCGTATTTTCAATTCGCAATTTTAATTTGCGCAATTTGAAGGGTAATGGAAACGCGCCTAGTGACAACATGTCATTTCAGAGGCAATGCAAGTTACATTGTTTTCCTTTTAATAGAATAAAACCAGGAACATGCATTAAGAAAGTAAATATAATATTGGTTTTTCATCTTGACTTTTAATTGATGGAATTAGCTAGATGCTAATTTGTAAACAAATGGGTGTGTGTTATCAAGGCATACTTTTATAGCATGGTTACATGTCCCAATATTGGTGTAGACTATTATTTTGTACTTAAAAGTATATACATTCCTATCACCAGCTAAATGCATACTTGAAGTATATAGTATAAGAATGTGAATTAAGTGTTTTAATACATGTCTCCGTCTTTCTGTCTGTTGCTGTCTCCATCCCTCCCTCTTTTTCACTGTCATTCCCTCTCTAACACCCTTCGATGCAATCATTTCAGTGTCTGACATCAGTGAATCAGACTGAATATTAATGCCTGGCCTGCCACTCATCGTCATGGCTGCCGTCTAATTAGTGTTGCAGATCTGCAGCAGCAGTTTCCAGTTAAGATTTGGCAGCATATCTCATTCAGCTGATGAAAGCCCTCTCATTGGACGGCGGTTTCACATGCATTGAGATGATTGGGTCGGCCACAAAGCCACTGTAACCATGGCTACAGAAAACAAAACTGGGTCCACAGTTTGGACTCAACGCTATTATGAGACTAACTGGAGAAAACAACCAAATACAAACCATTACTTTGAACATTTTATTCAGTCCTTTAATTGTTTATGATGCCAGAGTTTTTAGTTGAGTGAATGTGACAAAGTCCGGATCATTGTTGAATTCACCCAATTATGTTTAATTTAAGAATCACTTTGTCTCAGATTTTCAAATAATAGGTAAAAATGAATGAGTCAAATGTATATAATTTAAAAGAAGTAAAAATAGAGGTAAATGAAGCAATTGTTAACAAACATAAAGAGTATGTTTGAGTTCATACTGAGCTCTTTTGATTGCAGAATTTGGCATCTTGGAAAATCTGAGCACAGTTTGAGACATTGTTGAGATCTCTCCATAAAACTCTACATATTTGTCTGGTTTAAACCTGTTTCAGTTGGTCTAAAAAAAAATAATTTTTAAATGATATTTTTCACTTGGTGTGCAAAACACATACAGGATAGCTTTACAGACTATTTCCATATTATAGATAATTGAGCCTTTATAGTACTTTATATTTAGTATTTATAGTAAAAAAAAAAAAAAATTAAAAAAATTAAATAAAGTAATAATAGTAATAATAATAAAATATAGATTAGGTATGTAGTATTTATAATAAAGAATATTTTTTTACGTTGTATGAATGTTTTACTCTTTGGGAAAATTTGGAATTTTTTTAATATAAAATCAAGATCTAAGGTTTGAACCATACCATATATATATATATATATATATATACTGTATATATGGTTTGTTAAAATGGTAGGAGTGGGGTAATTTGAGCCAAAAGTCCTGGGGTAAGTTGAGTCAGTGGCTCACCCCTTCTTATGATTATAAAGTATTATTTTACTGTAATTCTACATTATATTTCATTCATTTTAGACCAAACATTTTTTTATTTTGTTATTTGTTTTGAACTTGCTTTTGTTCTGAAAATTTTAAATAGGCCTTGTTTATAAAAATTGGCCATTGAAGTTTTTATGAAATTGTATTTGCCTGCAACATTTAGAAGTGGGATGTTGAGTACTATTAGCCCAGTTTTGTAAGGTCAATTACATCCATCCATTCTACTATCCAGACCTTTTTGTCCTTATTAGGGTAGCAGGGAGCTGGATCCTAACCCAGCGTCTTGAGCCACAGGTGGGGAAACTCCCTGGATGAATGCCCTTCCATCACAAGGCTCACACATAGATTTTAAGAAGACATTTTTATTGAATTTCTCTTCCTTTGATATAGCACGAGGTGAAAATGTTCAGTTTTACTTCAGCGTAATCAATGGCACAGTTTAACTCCATGTGGCTCAACTTGCCCTCTTCCTAGGCTCAACCTAACCCTCACTGGGGGCAAGTTGAGCCAAGAGACCACTTTTTTTTTTTTGGAAAGCCATATTTTGAAAGCTTTTTATTCCAGATCCAAAGTGATTATTCCCAAGGATGCACCACATTCTGAAATGTATGTACATATTTAAGTTGGACCCATTACTGTCATGTGTATATATTTTTTTTTTTTTCAGTGTAGAGGAGACATGTATGACAATACTTGTATTTTTCTCCATTTGCTATTTGTTTAATCTCATCGTTATCTATGAGAAACAATTGCGATATTAAAAGCGATTTCTTTCTCATTGTTATTAAGCCTATTAGATGAAGGCTGCAGTAAAGGATGTTTCTTCTTTCTTTCCTCTGCAGAAGTTCAGGAGGAGAGTGCAGGAGTCGACGCAGGTCCTGCGGGAGCTGGAAATCTCATTACGGACCAATCACATTGGGTGAGTTCATCTGTGTGTATGCATGCTCATTAAATACTGCTCACACCGACACACTCCAATAGCCCTCATGCAAGATGAATTGAAGCTGAAATAATGCTCTTTTGTGTGAACCGGCACAAGTAGCAGCCAAATGCTCCTGACTAGACTTGTCATATTTCTGCACAGTGGAATTTTGCTAGAATGCCAACCGAAAAGGTTTTCGTTTTGGGAATCCCTACACAACCTAATCAGATCAGAGAAATGCTGGGGGGGGTTCTGAGATTTCGTGAGAGCTGAAAATCACACACCCGGGTTGCATGCTGGGAGCTAGGATTGATCGGATGTGGAAAGGCTGACGGAACTCGGCGAGGTCAGGAAAATGTCACAACAGGAAAACAGGAAGATGTGATATTCCAGGACCAGCCAGCACACACTCTTTCCTTGTCATCTCATAAATGAGTGTTATTATTCATTATTTCAAAGACCGTTCAGACCAGACAAACATACTCCCAGAAACCCCCGAGCTGCCAGACAACCTGTTTAGAGATTTAGCTGCCGTACGTTACTAAACTAGATCACATAAATGTTCTAGCTAATCTAGATGAGTTAAGGCAGTATTATCTGCTCACAGAGGGTTCGACGAACACAAAACAACAGAATGGTACCTCAAATTCTGTCCCTAGAGTCTCAGATGTGCTCCTCATTATCCCAAACAATGCTTCCCCCATTTGTACATTGTTAGTTATATTTTAAGGGATAATGTACAGTCATCTGGTCATTAATGCAAAATAAACCCATTCAAAATAATACAGAGTGCAATATTTGACTTTAGAATGCCATTGAATTACGTATTCCAAGAACAATGTGATACAAACAAACCTTCATATTTGCTCATATGAGTTCCATATTCCATAGTTCCATCATAGTGCTCCTGTAACATTCAGATAAATACACTTTTCACATAGAAGTTAAACTGCTCATTAGAAAATCAAAATAAATAGAAACTAATTTTTCTTTCAGAACAACTGTGTGGTTTTCATGTGTTGGTCTACTTTTCACTGGTGCAAAGTAAAAAGGTGAAAACCAGCTTTTGATCATTCCTGGGATCCTTGCGGTCTTTGTCAATGGGAACGTGTGTGAGTGCGGTATTCTGGGATGTCTCTGCCGTGTCTTTGAAGTATCTCTCATTGCTGTTGCTCTGAGGGAGAAATCCAGCTACATGAACCCTTTGCTTTCAATCTCCAAACTGCGTTGAAGCTGTTTTTTAAGCTACTGAGACGCCGTTCCATGATACATATTTCATGATGTCTGTCTCCGTATGGAAGTGCTGTTTGAGAACGCTGGGACTTTCTGTGTGCTCTAGGAGTCTCTTGGATTATCTAGTCTATCTACTGCATGTTTACTTGTATAATTAGTGATATGACATTATAATGTAGTAATGATAAATCGTATCCAAGTAATACAGTAGTGCGTACAAACTTTTGATGGACAGGTTTTTTTTTGTAATGGTCTTTTTTTTCTCTCTGTCTCTCTCTCTCTCTCTCTGTTTAGGTGGGTGCGGGAGTTTCTGAATGAGGAGAATAAGGGTTTGGATGTGTTGGTGGAGTATCTTTCATTTGCACAGTATGCTGTCACGTAAGTCACCCGTGATTGTACAGAACATGAACACAATGAACACAATGGCTTCTTTCACCCAGACCGCTGCTGGATCTTTGTGCCGCTCTGACTACATGCCTTACTGCTGCTCGGAGAGGACCCCAGTGTGTGTGTGTGTGTGTGTGTGTGTGTTTTAGAGAATGTGTGCAGCCTGTTCACTGAGATTAGATGAAGTCACAAGATCTCATTTACAACCAATAGCACTTTAATCCTGATAAGAAATGAACATGTTTTAGTGTGTTTTGGGGTAAAGACTGTTATCACGCCCCGATGACTCAATACAACACACTATACGCTAGTGTTCAAAAGATTTTTTTTGTGTTTTTGAAAAAAAAAAAAGTCTCATACACTCATTAATTTATTAAATATACAGGAAAAAAACTGTAATATTATGAAATGTTATTCCAATTTTAATGTTTTAAAGCTGAATTTTCAGCATCATTACTTGATCCTTCAGAAATAATTGTATGTTGATTTGCTGCTCAAGAAACATTCATAATTATTATTATTGTTGTTGTTGTTGTTGTTGTTGTTAAGAATGCTGAAAATAGTTGTTACTTAATATTTTTGTGGAAACCATGATACATTTTTTCAAGATTATTTGAAGAATAGAAAGTCAAAAATAACAGCATTTATAGTATTTACTTTTGCGTTTGATCAATTTATTGATTTTAAAACTTTTGAACAGTAGTGTAACTAGCCAATTAATAGACATGATCTATGATTTAAAAAATCATATATATATATATATATATATATATATATATGTGATTTTTTTATTAGTAGTATTATTATTAGTATTATTATTAGGGCTTCATGTTAATGTTAATTTAATGTTTATGCTAAAAAAA